TTTATTTTTTTCCATTTCTATAATTCCCCAAATCTGTAAAAAATATATCTCATATAAAATGTTGGATACTTGTAAAACCTTATTAAGAAAGAACATTTAAATGTTTACCTATTATGTTTTTAGTTGTGAATCTGTCTCTTCTTTAATCTCAAGTCAACTGTCAATATCTGACCCTTCAGAGGATTTTTCTATTAAATTGATTATTTGTAAACTATTTTAATTTCTTAACAGTTGGGAGCAAATTTCTACTGTTCATTATACATGAAATAAGCACTTTTTAAACCAATACTGATATTTTAATTTCAACATTAAAGAATTTCTGCTTTTTTTCTGCATTTATACATTTCCGGTTTTCTTGTGGATTTTGTGGAATGGACCAACTTTGTTAAACGTCACGATTCTTTGCTTATCAAACAATTAACGATGTTGCTCTGCCCACGGTTGGAATATCAATTATTCAGGGACAATTTAGAAATAATAGAGTTTAGTCCTGTATGAGGATGAATTGTGACATCACCATTGATTAGGGCACTATTCATTTTGTACGTAATATTCTGTATAACTCAGTTTCAGAAAATCATTGATGGAATTCTACTGCTGCTGCTTGGACTGTGAAGTTTGTGTTAGAGGATTTTGAATATTTGGAGCATTTCGGAAGCAATTGTGTGTTGCTAAGATATAGTTAAACATCATTGCAGGAGCTGTCTCAGCTTTTAGTTTGGATTAAATGTTGTTTAGAATAGGCAGCCTCCCCCTTCTGTTTGTTTTTCTTTGCTACCCAAAAGAAATTATTCAGAAAATATGAGTGTAATTCCAGTGCAAGAGAAGAAACATTCACCAGCTCATCAGTGCAAATGGCATTAACAGGAGGTTTATTCAACTAGAAAAGATCTTAAAACATTGTCAGACAGCAGAGAAAAATGAATTATATCTATAGCTGTGTGTGGTGTCTAGTGAATGTCACGCATGCATCTTTATTTAAAATGTCAACAGGACTCTTACATCTCTTCAGCCAGATACATTCAGACGCACAGGACTGACTTGCATCTGTTTGTGTGTGGCGATGGCATTTTGAGGGTAGCTTGAATGATGTATCGTAGCGGACTAAGCATGTCCAGTTTTTTTTTTTTTCTTTCTTTTTTTGTCTACTGTATGTCCTGTCACTTTGGCTTTGAACAGTTGTCACGGTTTGGAGCTCACAGTCAGGGGGTGGGGGTCAATTTTGTGTTTTGTCAGAATTATGTCTGCACGAGGCAAAGCGAAAAGAAAATCAATTTATAGATTAATTTTCCCACCTGTGTGTCTGTGTGCGTTTTTCTTGGAGAAATTGTACACCAGATGTTTCATTCAGTGAGGCATTAAGTTAGTATTTGTAATTATATTCCTTGAGCCATCGACTGCTCTGTGTGCATAACATAACAGCGTAAGACCATCAGAGACACAGATTGTTTGATAGACAGTTGAGTGCATTTTGGTGTAGAGTTACCAGCACAATAGCACTAGGATCACTTTGTCAAGGGGATTAAATGGATTTACAACTGTGGATTAGAATGTAACCAGCTGGGTACATTTGTGGCAAAAAATGGAAGTGCATTTGTGTGCGTGTGTGTGCGTGTGTGTGAAAGGAAGAGAGATGAGTGATGGTGACTTGCTTTAATGGATCCTGTGAGGTGATACTGCTATTAAGGAAAAGCTTCTTTCGCTTTTAAAATCACCAAATGAAACCTCGTAACATGTGGCCCCTAGAGATTGTTTGAATTTCATCTCATAAGATGCAGTAGGGAAAATAAGTGCAAAGGAGCAATAATATGTTAATATTTTTTTTTCTCCGTAAGTAAATGTCTAAAGGGGGCTATTGATGTGAAATCCATGTCATGTCAGCAACAACTTGTTGCATATGTATATTTTATTTGTTAATGCATGTAAAACAGAAGAAAAATAATTATAAATAGAATAGCTAAAATATAAGGGCATTTAAACGAATCCAAATGAATATCATATGCTTTAACCCCAGATGTTGAACTTTGAAAATGTTTTCTTAGTACTGAAAATGTTTCTCAGTACAACGATATCACACAAGAAGCGTCTTATGATATGTAAAACAAATAGCTTCCTCAAGGCCAAATTTATATTTGTAAAAAAAAAAAAAAACATATACTGATAGCACTGTTTACGGGTGTATTACTAAACTTCTGAATCTGGAAAAAATAGTCTGGTCAAGTGAGATGCTTACTGATGTTATTGCAAACATATTTGGAGAAAGAAAAATTCTGCAAAATTATATGAGCATGTTCTCCTTGTTGCATAAAATTGACCTAATTTGTAATAATTTTTGTAAATGAATCTTACAGCCTAAGTAAAATGAATGTCAATAGATTCCACAGAAATATATTTAGCAATAAAATCTGTTTTGTGTCAAACCTACTGTACAAAAATAACAAAAATAGTTGTAATCATTTGCCTAATCACACCAAGAAAGTGGCTTATTTTAAGTGGTTTCACTTTTGGTACATTCATTTTCATCCTGTGGAGGTTAAGAATCATGCTAAGATAATGTTCTCTGATCTGATCTAATATGGAGGCCATAAATATTGAATGTTTCCAAAGCTATAATTAGATAAGATCAATAATTAATAGCTTCTAATTTAAGATTTAAGCTGATAAAAGGAAGGGAATCAGTATAATATGCTAATCCCACTGGTATGTAAAAATCATCTAAACTTTTAAAATCTTCCCACACAGGCCACTCACAGAACTAAATTCATACCCTAAATATGTCTTACATCAAACATTACAGTTACTTTTTATAAAAATAGACAAAGTATGTATTGTAGCTAATGTTTCAGTGCCTCTGTGGTCTTCACATAATCAAATGTTTTTTTATTTATTAACGTTTTTCACCTTTTTTTTTTTTTGGTCATTTGCAACTGCCAACTTCATGCTTGCTTTGTCTGAATGCCTTTAATTTCACCAGCGTGGTTTTCATAGTTGAACAGGAAAATAAACAGAGATCAAATTGTTTGCATGTTTATTTGACAGCAGTATCTCATTTATCTAAGGGACATGTTTTAGTCTGATTAGTTCCTGTATATGCACACAGTCTTATTCATCTAACTTTCTCACATGCAACATATTCTGCCTGATTGTTTAAATATGCATTTGTTTTCCAAAAATCTTAGATAAGTGAGGCAGCATACTGTATTTCCAGGAAAATTTGGAAATTTTATAAATTATGAAAATATAATTTTTTTTATAAAACACCTTTAGAAAGAATATGAACACACTTGAATTTTGTTAAGCTTTACAGAACTGGTGTTGTCTAATTAATAGACATTTAATCACTTTTGTACATTGCCACAACCTTTGCTAACTTTATGTGTGGTGTCTGACTTGGAAAGGGAACCTAAAGGTATGGTAAGTTTTGGGTCAAAGTAAAAAAAAAGTGCTTAACTTGGAGCAAGAAACCATTTTGGAGAGGTAGGAATTTAAATTGTGGTCAAAACTGGGATCCTGATGGCATGGTTAAAAACTGGGCCGATCACAAGAACTATTACTTTGAGTAATTATAAATGGATGTTGCATGCAAAACACCATTCGTTTGTTGTTTTTGTCATGTTTATACCTAGATCCGGATATCTTTAAATTTGGTTCTAATACAATAGCCTAAGAACTACTCTGAGTATATTTTTCCCCTTTTTGAGAGGCATTTAACATTTGCTGTTACACATTCTCTCTCTCTTATTTTTGCATGTTTGAACTCACATAATTTTTTTTTTTTCAAATTAATCTATATCCCCTCAGGTGGCATGCTGTGTACCTCACCTACTCGCCATCAGTTTATCAATATGTATTTATGTCTATTTCCTTTATCAGAGTAACATATTTCACAGTGACTTTCTCACTGCTGTAAAACTCACCGTATTGCCAAAATTAATATATAAGCATTGACATTTAGGAGCCAATCTTTTGTATAACTGGATGCGCTCACTATTCTTTGCTTTTAATGCTGTAACCAAATCTCCTGAAAATGCCTTCACAAGATCTCACTGCCTGTTCTGAAACATTAAAGGTTTTACATATACAGCCAATTCCATTTGTTTATATTATTTTCATTTGCTGTGAATTTCATTACATAAGGCCGCTTTTCATCTAAGCAAAAAAAAAATAAATAAATAAATAAATATGGTGATTATTTTGAAGCAGTAGAGATCAAGTTATCTTTAAAGAAAAGTGAAATAAATAAAAGCTTTAATGAGTGAGAAAAGAACACAGCAGGATGAACCAGCCTCAAGTTGTGTTGCTTTCCTCCCCTTCGCCGTCACATGCTTTGTGATCAATACTGGTTCTTTGATTATTTAAATGTGAAGCCAGTTTTAAGATTTAGGTGGAAGAATGTACTTTTTGCTTATTTGCAAACAGTCAAATGTGCTCACGTTGTTTTAGATCTGTCTGATATTCTAGGACAGGCATAAGCTTACTAAGCCACAGCTTGCTGCCCGAAAGGTCAGGAGCGGGTCCTTAAGAGCACTTTAGTTTGTAAAACAGAAAACAGATCTTCAAACCTTCATCTTCAAACAATAGTTCATTAAGAATTAACTGAGTTTTCTATTTGTTTCACGTTTTTTTAACATCTAATTTGGTAAATGAATATAACATTTTAGATTTATCAAAAATAAATCTATATAAACTGGAATTAATAGTTTCATTGGATGTCATAAACTAATGAGTTGAAACCTAATAGATAAATCAATAATTTTCTATGCTCTCTTAAAAACACAGCTGAATAAACTTTGCCTAAGTTGATCCTAGATTATCTTCTAGGTTACCAAAAATAGAGCAGATGAACATAAATTTGTATTTTCTATTGAGATGTTGCAATAGGCCACTTGCATGTGATGTTTATTGCCTTGCATGGTGACAACATGCAATGGCCAGTACTAGCCTGCATGCTGCTTAATGAATATCTCCCTCTCTCTCTCTTTGCCTGCCTTTGCCTCCAGAAGACAACAATACCGAAGGTGGGTATTTTCATCCTGGGGACTAATTCCATTTAAAGTCTATCAGATGAATGTTAAAGAATGTTTTGTCTTGGTGATGGTATCCATGTGACTTGAGTGGTAAGTGTGGTTTGTCATCTTTTAACTTTGTTTTCATTAAATTATTTTTCTATTAGTAGAAAATTACTTCCAATGATGATGAGAACAAAATGAATGAATGAATGAATTAATTAATAAGTCAGTTGATTTTGAATAATACTCTACCTCTAACAAAGTTTTTAGAAACACTTTTATTAACTTCAACATCAACATAAAAACAATATTTCTATTTAGAAATGATAAATTCTAACGTCAATGTATAAAATATAAAAACAAAAACAAAAAAAAAAATAAAAAACACTGCAAAAAATCTCCTGATTCATTTTTGCCTGTATCTGTTTAATTTTTCTTTTTAAAGTCAAGGCTGGATAACGTTTCAAATTTCCCAGATAATTTAAGCAACACGAACTGTATTGCCTGTAAAGCTTGCTGTGTAATGTAATGCTTGTTACGACTAGTTCTATAAACCAGTAGCTATAAGATTGTCTTATTCATATATACAATATATAAAACGGCAATAGTTCTGAGAACATTTATGAACTGATTGGTTACAAAAGCAACCAATCAGTAAAAACCCTCTTTAAAGAATTGAGCAACATTTTATATGTATGTACATTGACATACTAATGGATGGATTCATTACATCAAGCATAATACTTTCATCAGGCTTGATTAAAATAAATAAATGCAGATTTCAATTTATATTGGTTCTTGTTCATTTTTTTTTTTTCTTAAGCAGTTTTGGGTATGAGGATCATTAAGACTAAAATGGCAAAGCCTAAAATGCCATCTCAATGCAAAAGCAGCAAGAACAAATGTTGCCAACATTAATTTCAGTGTCCACAGCCCAGATTTAAAAGTTAGATTTTTAGAAAGTTATGTGAATGATTAGATTTTCCTGGAACACTTGAAAGAGTGGGTATAGTAGCATGTCACACTAATCTGATTGTTGAATATAATATATCCTAAAAATAAAACTGGACCTCTGAATCATAAAGTCAGATGTCTTCTGGGCAAATGAGAATAAGGACCGCACTATTGCTCTGAGGTCCAAAGACTTCAGTGTTGCCTTTGCTAACAAGCTTGATCTGGAGACAAAGTTTATCTTTTCAGCAGAACTTACCAACGGCCCACACTGGCAACGTACCAACATTTGGTTTAATAACCATAGTATAATTGTACTTTGTGACCAGAAAACTGATCTGAGAATCCTTAGGGCCATTCTTAAGAGGAAGATGAACAACGTATTTAACATTGCAGAAACATTAAACACATCTTTTGAAAGAACCTGGGCATCCACAGGCTTATTTCCTTGTCAAACTGCATTGATGCAGTTAGTATTAACTAACTAAATATTACGAGCATATGGTGGACAGTGCATAGAAATGACTTTCAGGTGTTTGACGATTTTTAATGGATTTTCTGATTATTTGAACATCTGAATTTTGGTTTTCATATGAATGTTGTTCTCAAAGTTAACAGAAATAAAAACTTGATATATCCCATAGTGTGTAATAAATATATGCTCTATACTGAAGTAAATGTCTGTTTTCGACTGGCTTTATAGTTATTTTAATTGACTGAGGTGAACCTGCATATAGGTCAGCGTGACTTTAGCTTTCTGAACGATGCATAGTAAGTTGCTGATGATGCATTGCAACCTTTCTCAGTTGCCTTAATGCTCATCAGACTAGCCCTGTTTGTGTGTCCTCCACTTGATCTCTACCCTACTTTTCCCTTATCCCAACACTCCTCCAGTAACAGACATCTACTGTCAAGGAGATGCCTGCATGTCAGTGTCACACAGTTTCCCATGATCCCTTGTTCTCTGCTGACTGTACTCTTATTTTCCTTTAAGGTCTGGCACACCTGATGATGGGCGACCAAGGTATGGGCTATGTTCCTTTTTCCTGTCATTCCTCCATTGTTCTTCCTGCTCCTATTGTGCTTAGAAATTTGTGAGCCACTAACTCCTGTGCAGGCTTGAAGCTTCTGATATGGGCTGTTGTCTATCCATTTTTGATCAATGGCTTTATTTTTTTTGTCTTGTGTTGTTTTTCCATCTGACTTTTTCATAGATGATCTAGCTTTATTTTGAAGTTTGTGTTTTCTATATAGTTTTGATATTTTTGTTTTTATATATATATATATATATATATATATATATATATATATATACATATATATATATATATATATATATATATATATATATATATATATATATATATATATATAATTTTTTTTTATGATTAAAATTTAGTATATTTTTGCGACATATGGGTATGTCGCAAAGATATACTAAAGTGCAAAGGACAACTTGCAACCTTGTTTGGGTGTTGTGAAAATAGCTTACTGCACTTTTAGAGCTAATCCTCATCTGCCCTCACTTCGGTAATGCATGTTGAGAGCATCTGCAGAGACAATTGTCCATTATGTCTTCATTTTCCATTTTTGCAGTTCTGCATATTGCCATGGCACAACAGAACAGCAATGCAGCTTTCTGCTTTCACTTCCCATAGCAGCATCCTATTTCCCCCACTGTATTTGCACATATTTGCAGCCATCAAGCCTCTCTATCCCCCTGTCCACTGTCCTCCTATTTTGTCAGGACACTTACTGGTGTCTCCTCTCCCTTTGTTCTTCCTCTTTGTCTGGAACCTGCTTTCTTCATGGAACATTTCATCAAATCTCATAGGTAAAAGTAAAGGTATTCTTTTTAATTCTCTGAATTCACTGAGCTTTGTGGTAATTTTTCTGGCATTATATGCTCTTGTTGAATTATATATATATATATATATATATATATATATATATATATATATATATATATATATATATATAGACATATGACTGGGATTTTTAAAAAAACTGCTTTTCAACTAATTAATTAGAGGGTTTCAAGGTAGGTGCTGCTATAATTCACATGCTCAAGCTTTGTCGCTTTCACTTTTTTTTTTGTTTTTTTTGTTTTCCTTTTTATTGCATGAGAGCCATGCAGACTCATATGAATGTAAGCCCCACAGTTGCTGCCCTAGTTCTTGTGCAGAACTTGCACCCAGGGGAAACTACACTGCTTTTGTTTAAATTATGGGTTTTGAGGTTGATCATAGTGTTGTGGGCCTCCCATCCTGGCTGTGATCCTCACCTCTTCTCTCTGTGGGGTAAGTGGACTTCTGATTTTTCCCATTTGACTCTCCTCCTCAGGGCAGAGAGGGGAGACTTGGCTTGTAAGGTCCCTACTGAGCATACAAGGTAAAATTCCAATTCTTCTGTTATTTTTGCAATAAACTCTGATTTAGCAAGTTCACTTGTGTTAAGAGACTGTAATGTTTTGTCAATACAAGTGGAAAGCTAATTGTAAAATAGAAATTTCCATGTAACTTATTAATAACGGACAATGTGACATTTAACAATCAGTTTTCGTTACTTTGAATCTCTAGCTTGCTTTTGCTTTTAAATTAAATGTTCTATTTGTTTTAGCATAAAGTCTAAATATTTGCTCTTAACAGCAGCTATTAGGTTGCACTAAATGTTCTCTAAAACCATGTTCTTGTGAAGCTTCATTTAAGCAGGTAAGTTTTCAAACTGACCAGTGTGAGGAATATTTTGAAGCATTAAATTTGAAGAAAGATATTTTTGTCACGGCGTATGGTTTCTGAATCTGTCTGTGGATTTCAAGCTTTTCAATTGCATTTTTTTTTTTACTGTTGGACATTTTCAAGTGGTCACAAACTGTGTGTGAGTAAAGGTAAAATTTAATATGTTTAGCTTAAACTGTAAATCTACATGCACTGTCAAGTGACATTTTTCCCTCCACACTGACATTAGAATAATGTTTTCCTGGGTTGTGCTGTGGTGGCGCAGCGGTTAAGCACAACCCACATATGAAGGAGGCCTTATTCCTCGACGCAGCTGTCACAGGTTCGATTCTTGGCCTTGGTGATCTTTGCTGCATGTCTTCCCCCTTCTCTCATTACCCACTTTCCTGTCAATTAACTATCAAAATAAAGGCCACTAGAGCCAAAAAATAAAAATCTTAGAGTAACGTTTTCCTGTTTTAGGACATTTGGTATTGACATTATTTCTATTTGCAAAATGTCAATAACTTTCTTAAAATTCAGAAGCTTAAGTAAATATAGTTGCCTTTTAAAATGTTTTGGGTAAACGTCCACAACCATCTTATGGTCCTTTTCAACCCCAAAATTTTATTTAGCTAAAGACTTGAGTATTGAGACAGCCTCTCCAAAACATTGACTTTGTTGTCGTTAAGTCACTTTGTAACTAAATTGCCACCTTCCAGCCAATGTCGTAGAGGTTTGTTTTCACTGTGGATGTTGTTCTCTTACTAGTTTTAGCCAGCATTCTCAGAGCCTTTTGCATTTGATGTGAGATTGATGCACATTAATTCATTCTTCTCTGAGATGAATGAATTAATCTGTTTTCTCAAATGTACGATGGACCGAGATTCGATCTCATGCTGTTCATACTCGGAGTTTTAAAAGATTAACCTGGCATCGTTAAGCTTCTTGAAGCTGTAAGAATAAACTGGACTTGAGATGGTCCACATGTTTTTTTTCCTGATGTCTTTCCTGGTCTTTTTTGAAGATTCCTTAATGTCACACGTGGCTGAGGTGTTATCTAACGTAAATTGGCAAGAGTGTCTCAAATTACCTTTAATGTTGTGAATTAACCTATCAGAAGCTTCCAAATTATGGCATTTTGGGGCTTCTCCATAATGATCTTGGTGTATTTATACTTGAATTTGAATAATTCTATTAAAATTATCCAAAAAAGTCATCATCATAGACAAAAAAAAATCCTGCAGTTGTCAACCATAAATGACCTACAACAGGAAAATCTTTAATAAAAATGTTTCTTATTACTTTTCTGTAAATATGCTATTCTTTCTGCTATATTACCATACTAATTTCTTCCTATTGGTCCTCCCTAAGCATATGTTTGAACGTTATTTATTGGTAATTCAAAACAAGTCATGCAAAATGCATATAGCCCATATATATGGAATGAGGAAGCCATAAATGAGTTTTAAAGCTGTGTAATAAATGAGACTTCATGCATAATATTTTCCCACATGCATACACACATATACACATTGTCTTTTCAGGGGCCTGAATATATATTCAGCTGCTGTACTTGCACAAGCCACAGTTACAGCTTTTATAATTTGCCTTAAGCTCATTCTCCAACTAAGATTTGATAATTATGGTATGGGGATTATATGCAAATACACAAATGTGAAAGCTGGAATGAAATCCATTTACAACATCTTCCAAGGTAAGTGTCACTCTCAGTTCTATAGTCTTCATGCTTATTGTTTAGAAAATTGATGCAGACAATTGGTATTCATATACTGTCTGACAAATGTGATTTTTTTGTCTGGAAATGGAAAATTAATTCTGTGGGTGGTTTTTGAAATGTAGTGTTTTTGCTGTTCTTCCAAGGTTTGACAAATCCTGAAGACTATTTGTCATTGATTTGCAGGTCAAAACTGGTCCTACATTTATATTCTGTGAATTAAACTCTACATTTTATAGCAATGGCAGTTAACGCCTGCAACTCAAATGTTCCTGCAAGGAAAACTAAGTTCTGGCAATGTCCGGCTCAGATTATGTAACCTACTGTTTGATACAGCACTTGTGTCATTTATGATAATTATCTACATTGCTTAAGGCAGTGTTTTTCAACCACTGTTCCGCGGCACACTAGTGT